TGAAGGTGACAGACTCCTGGAGGCAGCCAGGGGACGCCTGTGGGGATACAGAAAGGGCTCAGTGGCTGCCCATGGTCTACTCCACTGATGCCCCAGACAACAACACTCCTGCTCCCTCACCTTCTTGGAGGCCTGGTTGAGCCTCTGCAGCCACTGAGACAGGAGGCGGCTGAGGGGCCTGGGGGCTGCGGTGGGCAGGGTGGGCACCTGGGGGCAGAGAGGGCGCTGTGAGGTGGGCCTGGCAGGCAAGAGTGGTGGTCAGAGCCCGAGATGTGCACAGGGACCAAGGACTCACACAGGCCTGCAGCTGGGCGTGGATGTGACGCAGCATGTGGAGGGGCTGCTCCAGGACGTCCCCCAGGGCCGGGTCTGTCACGGTGCCCAGGACCTTCAGGGTCAGGGCCAGCTCAGCCTGCAGGGCCAGGGGGCGCTCCCACACCTGGGCAAGGACATGGGCACAGGTTAGAGACCCTCGGGACAGAGAACAGACCAGGGACAGAGGAGAGCAGAGCAGAGGGGCTCAGGGAAAGGTGACAGAGGAAAAGGTACCCAGGAAGGGGAGAACTGACGAGGGACAGATGGAGGGACAGAGGGCGACAAAGGAGAAGGCCAATGGGCCCAATAGCAGGCCAGTGGCTGGGGCTGGCTGAGTGCTGGCTGGGCCTGAGCCCCACCACTCACCTGCAGCTGCCCCAGGTCCCAGGTCCTGGGGAAGAGGCGCAAGCTGCACCTGGAGTCCTTCAGCAGGAGCTGCTCTTCCTAGACAGCAAGGGCACAGGTCAGCTCACCCTGGGGCGGGGCTTGGGCCACTGCAGTGGGGCTGGGGGAAGGTTCATGCTAGGAAGGAGCAAGTTCCATCCCAGGGGGTGGCAGACGCCCCTCCACAGTGGGGGACATGGTGGGCCCACTGCAGTAGGAGCAGGAGAAGGTGGCTAGCAGTCAGGGTGGGGATGAGCCCACTGCAGGGAGGGTGAGGTCCACCTCCAGCCCATTGTCCAGGAAACACACAGAGGCAGGGCTGGACTGTAGCACACAGGAAGGGAGCTCAGGGGAGACTCACAAAGGCATCCTTGGCCGTCTTGAAGGCCTGTAGCTCTTGTGGGGAAAGAGACTTGAAATGGGCCATGCTGCAGTCCCTCACATCCTGGAAGCTACTCCGGGGTCTGGGCACAGGAACTCCTTCTGTCCCTTTCAGCAGCATGGCCAGCAGCAGTAGCAGTAGCAGCAGCATGGAACGTCCACCAGGATCTGTGTTACAGAGGACACCGTGTAAGATGATGTCGGGTGCCCAGGGTAGGAGGGCTGTCTGGGAGGTGATGGTCATGGCCATGCTGTGGTCCTCACCTGGCTCCATTGTGTTCTGGCTTCTTTGTCACTGATGGAGACCAAATGTGCACTTGAAGCTGTCAGCTTCGGTCTCTAACTCGGTTGGCCTCGGAGTCCTTAGTCTCAGTCTCCTGTGCGGATCTCGACCTGCTGCTCTGTGACAAAGTCTCTCTGCGTGTCCTGTTCCACAATGCTACTCCTGTCTCAGCCCCATGGCACTGCTTTTATCCTGGACTGAGGGACAGTCCCAGCTGATGTGTGAAAAGTGAAAATTCAGCCTGAAGTAGGCACTGGCCACTAGGGGAGCCCCAGCCTGGGGAATCCCAGAAGGGCGGGTCTCCAGCCAGGTGAACAGGTGGAAGGAAAGAGAAAGAGTGGGAAGTAAGCGTCACTGATTTGAGGTGAGTTGTGAAAGGAATTCTCAGAGCTAGGCCAGCTTCTCTGCCTGGTGGGTTCCAGTCTTTTGGGGTACACTTGGTCTGGATTACAGAGCGGGACAGGGCAGTGGCCTTAGGCAGGAAGCCCCATGCAGAGAATGGGAGGTACCTGAATCCCTGAGCTCAAGCGTGGGGTGGAGTGGGTCCCGGGAAGTGGGGTGCTGGGTGGAAAGGGTCAGAAGCATAGCCCCAAGAGGGAGAGGCAGGGCTGCCCACCTTCCCCACGTGCTCCTTCGAGGAGAGTGGGGAGGTGGCTGAGCCTCCTCTGTTTTGCAGGTTGAGTGGGACCCAGGAGTAGGAGGCCCTGCTGAGAACTGAGGTGAAGACAAGGACCTCAGTGGCCCCGACTGACATGTGCCTGACGCTCTCATTCATTCCGAAAGTGTTCATTGGCTCCAACCTTGTGGCAGATGTCATTGAACGTGTCAGGAGAGAATGCCAGGAAAACACAACAAACCCACACAACAGTGCTGCCAAGATTTTCCCAGGCCGTGGGGGTGGGGCCCTAACAGGGTCTGCTGTATCCTGTCTCAGGAAAGAGAGCAGAGTAGGCGGGAGCAGGAGGGCTGTGGGGAGCTTGCACCAGGTGAAGCAGCCTGTGGAGAGGCATCTGCACCTGGCCACGGTGGTACAGGCCTGTGATTCCAGCACTCTGGGAGGCTGAGGCAGGAGCATTTTAAGTTTGAGCCTGATCTGGGCAACTTACCAATTTAGGAAGATCCTAGGCTCAAACAAAACAGCACACTCCCCCTGAAAAACCCAGCCATGTTTTCTCTCAAAGTGGTGGGGTAACCACACTCAGCATCTGCAGCCTGAAATCTAGCTGTTAGCAGGTCCCCCACAAAGGCAGCTGAAGGCTCCATCCTCCCTGGCCTCTTCCAGCCTCAGAAGCTGCCACCCCTCCCCCACTGCATCTCTCCTCCATCCCCTCCCTCATCTTTGCTTCATACTCTCTGGGTGAGGGTGCCACCCTTGTGCCTCCTCCTATGGGGACCCGTGACATTGCACTGTGCTCATCCTGGTGATCCGGGAAAACTTCCATGCATACTTGATTTCATTAGAAGCTCAAGCACCTTTTTTGCAAATAAAGTGATGTTTACCTCATCCCCATTCCAGGCACTCTAAAGGGACTGGTTTGCAGGTGTCCAAGACACTGTCTACCCCTAAGAACCATTTAAGTAAGAAGCACATTCCCCAACACCCAGCCTAGGATGGCTGCATCAGCCACAGGAAGCAGATGATAGGCCCTGAGCTGTGCCATGGCAGGACCAATGGTGCCATCAGGGTCTGAGAACATCAGGAGAGAAGGACAGGGCCTACAGAGCCTTTGGTGCAGCACAGAGCAAGGGTGCTACACCAAAGGGGGCAGAGGTGATGTTGCATTAAACTCTTAGGCTTACAGGGCCACAGGAACCAGAGCTGGGACCTTAAAACCAAACATTCTTTGTGTCACAGTTCTTGATGTGGAAGTCCAGAATTAAGGTGTCACCCAGCCCATCTCCCTCTGAAACCAACAGGAGAGATTCAATCCTCAGCTCTACCCAGCATCTGTGACCTAGAGGGCCTTCAGAGCCTCCAGGTACATAGCTTCCCCAGCACACTCTGCCCATTGTCTTCCACGGTCATCTTTCCCCATACTGAAGGGCACCAGGCAGGACACCCTGGTGGCCTCATTCCCTCCTTGACTGTCTTGCAAAGCCTGTCTCCTCTGGGGTCACATTCTGAGCTGGGAGGCTTGGTCCTCAACACAGTTTTACCTTAATGAAGAGCCGGGACATAACACACTCATGAAGGTGGAAGGGAGAGTGGATCGAGGTGGGTGAATTCTCCACCATAGAGCACTGCAATCCCAGCAAGGACCAGGCAGCTGGGTTCACATGCACAGACACCATGAGATCGGCCCACATTGCCTGCACTCATAGTGGCAGGAGATTGCCATGAAGGAGCTCAGAGGACAGGAAGGCGTAGATAGGTGACCTAGGACAGAACACACCTGGGTACATGGACCATGGAGAAGCTAGAAGAGTAATTCTGACTCCAGAGAAAGAGTGGCCTGCAAGGGCTCCCAATCATCTAGATCCTCCAGGGTGGCTCCCTGGGTGTGCCAGGCTGTGGGTCCAGGATGCTGTGTGAGCTGGATTCCCTGACAGTGACGGGCACTAAGAGCCAGAGAGAGCAGAGGCAAGGTGGTGACACAAATTCCATAAGCAGTGGATGTCCCTAGTCACCATGTGGGGAGAGGCCCCTGCCCCGGGGGAGGAAAGAGCATGGTCAGCAGGAGGGGGCCTGGCTGGGTCATCTGCAGTCAGTATTCTGGAAAGGCTGATGAAAACATTCATTGGAAGAGAGCAGCCGGAGCATGGCGATGCGGAGGGAAGGGGACCAGAGATGCAGATCACTGGAGAATAATGCCTGGGTCACCCCAAAACATAATACATGTGATCCTGAAGAAATTCATTGGATGGAGGAGTGTGTGATGTGTGGTAAAGAGAGGACTTTTCCCTGACCCCCTCACACATCTCCAGAGGGGCCAGGAAGACAATGACAGATGAACAAGGATGCACCATCAGAGGGATGGCCATACACACAGTCATCAGTACACTCAGGCTCACCACCTATTGTGTGGTCATTTATACTGTGTGGAGGGCTGAACAGACGCTCCCAAGGGTGGCATCCCACCCCAAGCCCCAGGGGCCCTGTGCATCTTCATGTACTGCTCCAGGGACTTGCACTGTAATTAAGATCCACAGATGTTAGGAAGGGACATTGCCCTGGAATATGAAAGGGCACAATGCGATCCTCTGGGTCCCTCGAAGCAGAGAATATTCTCTGGCTGCAGCAGAAGACACAGGGCATAGGGAGGGGCACAGGAGTTAGGCACATAGGGGACTCTGCTGCAGGCTCTGAGAGGGGGGTGCAGGGCAAGGAGCAGAGGAGGGCTTTTGAGGGCAGGGGCGGCATCGAGGACCCCACCTGGAGCAGCAGGAATAGCACAGCATAGCTGACATCTGGAGCAACTAGGAAGCAGCTCCTTCCAGAACCTCCAGAGAGGAGCCCAGTAGGCCGCATGTGGGTTTAGAGCAAAAGGCAGGAGCAGAGGAGCCTGCACCAAGAACACCAACAGTGCTCTGACCTTCTAGAAAATCAACAGGGGCCTAACAGGATGCATTTGCTCTATGTGTTCTGTAGCAAAACATAGAATTCACACCAACAGGACCCACGACACAAGGGCTCTTCTTCATTCTTTATTTGCAAAAGGCTTATAAAAAGTAAAAAAATAGACATTTAATGGAACATGAGTTGGAGAAGCTAACAATAAATAGTGATTAGGTCACAATAAATTAAGGCACACGCTGGACGCAGAAATACAACGTAGACATCCATGGCAGGTGGCAGGGGAGGCTCAGGGCTCAAGCACAGTGCCCTGGCCTGGCCACACATCTGAGGTCCCGGGTGAGCAGCCTGAGGAGGTTGAAGGTGACAGACTCCTGGAGGCAGCCAGGGGACGCCTGTGGGGATACAGAAAGGGCTCAGTGGCTGCCCATGGTCTACTCCACTGATGCCCCAGACAACAACACTCCTGCTCCCTCACCTTCTTGGAGGCCTGGTTGAGCCTCTGCAGCCAGTGGGACAGGCGGCGGCTGACGGGCCTGGGGGCTGCGGTGCGCAGGGTGGGCACCTGGGGGCAGAGAGGGCGCTGTGAGGTGGGCCTGGCAGGCAAGAGTGGTGGTCAGAGCCCGAGATGTGCACAGGGACCAAGGACTCACACAGGCCTGCAGCTGGGCGTGGATGTGACGCAGCATGTGGAGGGGCTGCTCCAGGATGTCCCCCAGGGCCGGGTCTGTCACGGTGCCCAGGACCTTCAGGGTCAGGGCCAGCTCAGCCTGCAGGGCCAGGGGGCGCTCCCACACCTGGGCAAGGACATGGGCACAGGTTAGAGACCCTCGGGACAGAGAACAGACCAGGGACAGAGGAGAGCAGAGCAGAGGGGCTCAGGGAAAGGTGACAGAGGAAAAGGTACCCGGGAAGGGGAGAACTGACGAGGGACAGATGGAGGGACAGAGGGCGACAAAGGAGAAGGCCAATGGGCCCAACAGCAGGCCAGTGGCTGGGGCTGGCTGAGTGCTGGCTGGGCCTGAGCCCCACCACTCACCTGCAGCTGCCCCAGGTCCCAGGTCCTGGGGAAGAGGCGCAAGCTGCACCTGGAGTCCTTCAGCAGGAGCTGCTCTTCCTAGACAGCAAGGGCACAGGTCAGCTCACCCTGGGGCGGGGCTTGGGCCACTGCAGTGGGGCTGGGGGAAGGTTCATGCTAGGAAGGAGCAAGTTCCATCCCAGGGGGTGGCAGACGCCCCTCCACAGTGGGGGACATGGTGGGCCCACTGCAGTAGGAGCAGGAGAAGGTGGCTAGCAGTCAGGGTGGGGATGAGCCCACTGCAGGGAGGGTGAGGTCCACCTCCAGCCCATTGTCCAGGAAACACACAGAGGCAGGGCTGGACTGAGGCACACAGGAAGGGAGCTCAGGGGAGACTCACAAAGGCATCCTTGGCCGTCTTGAAGGCCTGTAGCTCTTGTGGGGACAGAGACTTGAACTTGGCCATATGACATTCCTTGGTATCCAGAGAGACACTGACTGGTCTGGGGACAGGAACTGCCCCTGTCCTGGTCTGCACTGTGGCCAGCAGCAGCAGCAGCAGAAGCAGCGGCATGGGAACTCCTGCGGGGTCTGGGTCACAGAGAACAGCAAGCAAGGTGATGTCAGGTGCCCAGGGTAGGAGGGCTGTCCTGGGAGGTGACTGTCACGCCCATGCTGTGGTCCTCACCTGGCTTCATGCTCTGGCTTCGGTGTCACTGATGGAGACTTGAGGTTGTAAACTCGGTTCTCTGTCTCGGTCAGTCTTGGAGTCCTGAGTGTCAGTCTGCGTTTGGATCTCTGCCTGATGCTCTGTGACAAGTTGTCTCTAGGTTTCCAGCTCTGCCCCATGGTGCTGCTTTTATCCTGGACTGAGGGACACTCCTGGTGATGTGTGAAAAGTGAAAACACAGCCTGAGGCAGACCCTGGCCACTAGGGGAGCACTAGGCTGGGGATTCCCAGAGTGGGCGGGTCTCTAGCCAGGTGAGCAGGTGGAAGGAAAGAGAAAGTCCAGACAAGCTGAGTCACAAGATTGGAAGTGACATCAGTAAGGAAGGCTCAGCACTAGGGCACTTCTAGCACACATGGGCGGATCTGGACCAGACAGGATTGAGATACAGAGCCGAAAAGCTGTTCAAATTCTGCAGGACACTCCAGGCAGGGAGGGAGGAGTGTGCAGCCTTCCTCTCGCCCCTTCCTTCTGCCTCACATCTGGGAGCTTCACAGAGGGTGCACACGGGCCCTGACAGGAGGCTGCCCGGGGCAGGGTTGGCCACGGAAATCCCAAGTGTGAGAGTGAGTCTGTCCACCTTTCCCCGTCTTTCACTGACAGGGGTTATGGGGAGGAGCCACTGTAGATTCCTTTCAGTTGTCCAAGGCAGAAAGGACCAAGGTGACTGAGGTTCTGATCTGGACTTGTAGTGAGGCCAAGGGTCTCAGGGGACTGCGGTGACTGGCCACTAAGATGTCATTCATTCAACAAGGACCGTTCAACTCCAACCTTATGGCACATACTGCACAAGGTGTCAGGAGAGAGCCTGGAATGAAAGAAATCACAAAGTAACTGCTCGTGGAGCATCCCACTGCAACTCTCTCATTTTTCCCATTCATCATTTCTGGGAGAGATGGGCACTTAACACTCTTTGTGCTATCATTCACAGAAACATTGTCTAACCGAGGGCAGGACTGGCCCAAACCAGTGTGCAGGGCGCTGTCCTGCTTCTTTCCAAGGCAGGGGCTCAGTGCTGGGTGTGGGAGACTCTGCACCAACTGTGATTGTCACCGTGTCACAGACTGCAAATCCTCAAGCACCATCGGTGGGTGTGTGAGCCTGTGCTGGTGAGTGTACACGGGCCTTGCACATCCTCTGTGTGTGCTCTACCACTCAGCTCTGCTCCCCAGCCTGCTTCTCCGAGAACACAAGTTCAAGGGAGGAAGAGCACAGGGTCAAAGAGAGGAAAAGAAAGCGCTCTAAACGGTATAACTGCATGTGTATTTAAGTGTATAAGACAGACAATGATATTACTGAGTTTTGTTGGCTCACTGAACAGAACTGTTTGCAGTCTCAGTGTTTGAATGTCCACTTTATATGCTTTAATTTTGTAACTTGAACTAATATTTCTAAGATGACAATATGTAATCCATTAACTAGTGATTTCCTACTGTTTATTTCTGAAATTCTATATAACTTGTACCCTTTTTCTGCTTTTTTCCCCCTTTTTCTCCTTAAATAAAATAAAAAAAGAAAGAAAGAAAGAAAGAAAAGGAAGAGCACAGGGTCTGGAGCACAGGCGTGCAGAGATCGTCCTAATTCTGAGCTGTGAGAACCGTGGGGACTTGGCAACAATGTGTACAGTGCCTGCCAAAGATTGCTAACACAGATTTTTTTCTTTTTGTTTGTTTCTTTCTTTCCTTTTTTTTTTTTTTTTTTTTTTTTTTTTTTTTTTTTTTTTTTGGTATCAGGGATTGAATTCGCGACCTGGCCTGGCAGCACTTATGCCGCTGAGCTAAATCCCCAGCCTCTACCCACAGATTTTGACACGAGACATAATGCAGTGACTTGTTGATTTATTAGGAAAGTAGAATACCCTCCCTCCTCTGTCTTATAGACGAGGAGACCGAGTTTCTGGGAGCATTTATTGGTCGCGCTACACTGTGGTAAACAGCAGGTCAGAATTGCAACACAGTCACCAATTCTCTGGTTCTGCCCTTTTTGCTGTACAGTGCACCTCAAATCATGGTACAGAAAACCCCAAGGCAAATGGGACAGTATTTAATAGCGGTGATATATTAACACCAGCAGTCAGCATAAGAAATATGCATGGAGTTTCACCCATGTGAGCAGCACACACGTAACAGGATCCAAAGACAGCAGCTGAAGGCTAGTTTGGCATTTCACTCCCTCGTCGCCTAGGAAATTGGGTCCCTTGGGTCTATCTCCAAAGGAGTGGATTCACAGACTCTTAGGGGAGTCCTGCACAGTTCAAACCAGCGGTTGGGACGCGCAGCAGAAGGTGAAGATTCCGGGAAGCAGGGGTTGGTTCTCTAGTAGGTAGTCAGCCACGGTCGCGCCCAGAGCTCAAGTCACTTCCTCCACGCGGAGCTGGCAGAGCTTGTGGCAACTCATCCCAAGCAAGGCGCACCGCTTCCCGGCAACAAGGTCTCTGCCTTGGGAAACCGCTCGCTATTTCTGCCCAGCACGAGTGCTTCAAGGTCCGGCCAATTGTGGCAGAGACTCGCTCGAACCTCGGCGTCCATTGGCTGAGAGACACGTCCGTCCGGTGAGCTGCAGCCAATGGCGTGGAGAGCGCGAGTCCCGCGAACCCCGCAGCGGTCAGACGCAGCGCCCCGAGGTCGCGGCCAGCCTGAGGTCTCGCGTGAGCAGGCGCAGCAGGTGGAAGATGGCAGAGGCCTCGTGGCAGCGAGGCGAGTCCTGGCAGGCACGCGGGAGGCCGAGTCAGGCTTCGCGCGCCACAGACACTGCCCGCCGGCGCTTTAGCCCGGGCCCCACGCTGCCCCCTGCGGCCCGTGCCGGCACCCCGCCGCACTCACCGCCCGCCGCCGCTCGGGTGGCCTCCTCGCGGGCCGCGGGGACCTCCTCCTGGAGCCCGGCCGCGCCGGCTGTAGCTGCGAGGGACGAGCGGTCAAGCAGGAGCCCGGAGCCGCCGTTCCCCTCCCGACCGCGGCCCCGCATCGGGCGGCCCCCGCATGGGAGTCACGCGTGTCCCGCTCCCTCCCGGGGGCGCAGTCGCGGGCGCGGCCGTCACTCACGCAGGCCGCCACGTCCCTGCCGGCGGCCTCCAGCAGCTCGAGCGTCGGGCCGGCGCCGGGGAAGCGCTCCCGGCTGCGCAGGCTGCTCAGCACGTCCCGGGCGTTGGCGATGCGCCGGGCCACGCGGCGGAGCCAGGCGCAGGACTGTGAGGGCCACAGCGGTGAGCGGGGGCCGCGCCGGCCGCGCCTCCCTCCCCGCCGAGCCCGCCTCACCGAGGGCCTTGGCCGATCCCGCGCAGCGCGCCCCGAGCAGTTGCGCGGCCACCAGCTCAGCGTCTCCTGCCCCTGAGGCACAAGCGCGAGTGAGGCCCGGCCGCCTGCTGTCCCAGAGCAGCCCGAAGGGTCGCGGACCATCCCGAGTCCTCTACAGAGCCCGGCGCTTCCGCGAAGTGGCGATGTGGTACTGACACATGCGCCCTGTGCCGAGCCCTGCGCCCCTGCACTGAGCCAGGTCCCCCACGTGGCCCCCCTCCTCCCTGGCAAGGAGCCCGGCTTAGTGCTCCTAAGGGCACCCGGAGTAGTCTCTGGGCCAGAACTCTGAACCTGAGATGGGAGATAAGCCTGCTGGGAGAGGACACAAGTGTTCCTCAGGACAAGGTCTACTGTCCCCAAAGCTGGGGGACAGGACCGGGTTGGGAGTTGAAGTGAGGCCAGGGCTCACTCACATAGCTGTCCCTCAGCGCCTTGACTGCCGCCAGTGCTCTGGGGTCCAGGGAGCGATAGTGTGACAGCAGGCAGTGCCTGGGTGCCACCACACCTTGGTCTTCAGCCACGCTGAGCTCCGCAGCCACTGCGAGCATGCACATGACCCCCAGCCCTGTGGCCACTGTGGCTCTGCTGCTAGGCTCCATCTCTGCTCCTGCAGGCAGCAAGAAAGTCAGGGAGGCCAGGGACAGGGCCTCTGGAGGCCACCGCTGCTTCTCCCTCCTCTCTGGAGGACTGACTGATGCTTGGTGCAGGGTGCTGGTCACAGGGGCCAGATCACTCCACAGGGGCCAAGCCACCCCCTTCTGTCCAGCCTCGAACTCACTGCTCACCTGCAGTGTCCCCTGGGTGAGTGGCTCTGCTGCAGAGCCTGGCCACCCCTGTCCACAGGAGGGTGCAGAGTGAGGTAGGCCTTTGGTAGTGGTAGCTGAACCAGCCATGGTGGCTTTTATGCACCTGAATGAGAAAATGATGTGCAACTGGGCTTCCCCGTTCTGGGGATCGCCCTTTCCAAACGTCAGTGCTGGCTCCAGGCTCTGTGGGATCCTGGCCAGGGAGTGAGGACTTTACCCACGGTGCTTCTGTGCCAGTTCTGCTGGGTCTCAGCTCTTTGTTTCTCTGGAGCAAACTGTCTGGTATGTTTTATACACATGTGCTTGTCTTCTGTGACTGTTTTACATTGTTCTGTACACATAACTGTCATGGTTCATACATGTGTCAACTTGAGAAAGTTTTGAGGTCTCCACTATATCTTTCAAGTTCACACCCTATTCTTCAGGGACACATTGCCTGGCCTCCCAGTGCTTCTGAAAGTAGGGTGGAAGCAGCTTGAATCCTGTAATTCTTAGATTTCTCATGTACCTAAACCCAGCACCATGTGAATGATACCAAGGTATGCTTCACCTAGAGTAGCAGGTACGCTTTACTCAATCTTGGCTGTCGGAGTGAAGTGCTTCCAGGATTGGGTACTCTGAATCAAATTCTGAGGTACAAATTTTCTATCCCTCTGCCATTCTGGAACATACTACTCACATTCTGGAACACGGTACTATGCAGCTCTCTCCTCCGAACGAAGTCTTTTCAGTTTTGCAGGTTTGAGAATGCAAAGTGTAGAGACTTGCTGCTTTTTGTGATGCCTTTATATTCTCTTATTTCTTTCTCAGCAATGGAAGTCTCCTCAGCTTTATCTGTACAGGTTTACTGGAGCTTCCTTTCTGGCCAAACTAGTGATGTTTTAAATCATCCTTCTGAGCTTTTTGCTCTGCTTTTCAACATAGATCTTGCAGCAAGCCCCCAACAGTAGCCATGCCACAGCGTCAACCTTCAACTGTCTTGAAATTTCTTTTACTAGATTAATTTGTCCACTGTCTTTAATGTTAGTCTCAGGCAAAGTCTCTGGTCATGAGCAAAATGTAAATTTTTTTTTTTTGCAAAGCCATATACATCCTCTGGAGTCCAGCACCCAATTCCCAGCAAATCTCCTGAACCTGGTGTTTATGGGCAGGATTTCTATCAACCTCTGGTCTTCTGAGCTCTGACCAGAATCTCCCATACAGAAAAGCCTAAGGCATTTCAGGCAAAGTCTCTGGACATGAGCAAAATGCAGACAAATTTTCTGCCAAGTCATGAAATACATAATCTTGAGTCCAGTACCAAGGCAGTCCTTCCTAGCAGAAACCTGGTCTTCCCCGGTTTTCTGGTCTTCTGAGCTATGACTAGAATCTCCATACAAAACATCTAAGCTGTTCCATGGTTACTGTTCAAGGCGACATCTCTGAACTTTTGCAAACTCTTCCCTCAAGCCATTCCCAAAGGCTCTTGAACCACAGGGTCTGGTACAGTCACAGCAATGTCCCCACTTTCCTGGTAGCAAGTTTCATCTTGGTTACTTTTCTCTCATTGCTGTGGCAAAATACTCAACACCCAAAATTAAGGAGGGAAAGGCTTATTTACTTCATAGTTTGTGGAGGTTTTAGTTCATACTTGATTGGCTCCAAGACATGGTGACTGTGCAATAGTTCAAGGTGGTGGAAAACAGCAACGTTGTATTTCTGCGTCCAGCGTGTGCCTTAATTTATTGTGACCTAATCACTATTTATTGTTAGCTTCTCCAACTCATGTTCCATTAAATGTCTATTTTTTTACTTTTTATAAGCCTTTTGCAAATAAAGAATGAAGAAGAGCCCTTGTGTCGTGGGTCCTGTTGGTGTGAATTCTATGTTTTGCTACAGAACACATAGAGCAAATGCATCCTGTTAGGCCCCTGTTGATTTTCTGGAAGGTCAGAGCACTGTTGGTGTTCTTGTTGCAGGCTCCTCTGCTCCTGCCTTTTGCTCTAAACCCACATTCGGCCTACTGGGCTCCTCTCTGGAGGTTCTGGAAGGAGCTGCTTCCAAGTGGCTCCAGATGTCAGCTATGCTGTGCTATTCCTGCTGCTCCAGGTGGGGTCCTCGATGCCGCCCCTGCCCTCAAAAGCCCTCCTCTGCTCCTTGCCCTGCACCCCCCTCTCAGAGCCTGCAGCAGAGTCCCCTGTGTGCCTAACTCCTGTGCCCCTCCCTATGCCCTGTGTCTTCTGCTGCAGCCAGAAAATATTCTGTACTTCGAGGCCCTCTGGGAATGGATAGGGCTTTTTCATACCCAAGACCATATTTCTATCTAAGTCCACAAACCTTATTACACGAGATTGTCCTTCGGCCACTTCATGTAGATATGAACTTACCCCAAGCTTGGAGAAGGGGTGTCATCCTTGAAGTGATTATTTAGGCAACCACACCTGCGTGTTTTCATTATTTGTATGTATTTTTGTTTCTGTTCTCTCTGGAGATACGCAAGTGGATCGTGGGAAACCCCTAGCATTACCACATGTTCCGTATTCCCTTCACCTCAGGCGGGTTCTTCTGCAGGGTCAGGCAGTTTAACTGATGGCTGGCCCAGACCTGTGTCCTTGTGTGGTCTGAGGCCCTTGTCAGCGAACCCCAAAGTCTCGGATTCCGGCTGCTCTGTTCCTAGTTACGTGTTACTCCTTGGCAAACACTGACTGCAGATGTGCCTGCGCAGCCCCCTCCTGCTGACCGTACTCTCCCCTTCCCGTGGATACCTTTGCTGGGGATTTGGGTTCTGTATCCCCACAGATGCTAGATTCTCATAGGGACCTGGGTCATGATGAATCTCAGCCTCTGACGGGGCAGAAAGTATCCTGCATGGTCATTTTGCCCCCAGGTAGACATGGGTGTCTAGTTAGCAGGTTGGACCTCAGCAGTGGTCATGCTGGAGTAGTTTGGTGACCAGAGCTCAAGCCATTGAGACTACGTGGCCCTCACCTTGCCCCACAGCTGTTCCACTCCTGTGTCCCACTGTGAACCCTTAGGGTGGTGACAGAGTCAAGGGGGCGTGTCCAACACTGGCCCGGCTATCATTTCTTGCTTGACGATTTTCTCTGGGGAACCATTAATATCAAGGAAAAGAAGGACAGGCACACTTTCAGTCCTTCTGTGCAGTAGCTTCCATGTGAACTGAGTGTGCTCCACAGGCTGACAGGCCGGACGCTGGGCTCCGGAGTGGCGATGCTGGCAGGCTGTGGAAGCCTGGAAAGGTGGGAGCACTGTAGGTGGTTCGGTCACTCCTGGAGGGGCCTTCAGAAGTGCTATGGTGACTCCTAGAGAATGTGTTTGCTCTCATGAGGGCAGGTGGTTATTAAATGAGGTCACCCCAGGTCCCTTCTGCAAGTGGCTGCCTCAATATGTGATTCCCCTCTAAGCCTCGTGCAGCCTGCAAAATAGAAGTGAAGGTACCCACTTTTCTCTGCCAAGTACTCAACCTCAGACACTTTGATCCCAACAGAAGCAGATAAAGTCTCAAACACCCCAGAGGATCTGGATGTTTGGGAGCCCTTCATTTCCCTGGAGACAGATTTACTCTTTCAGCTTCTCTGTAGTCCATATAGGCAGGGATGTCCCACTCCAGGTCACATGCCCAGGCTTTCCTGCCCTCTGAGCTCCTTCTTGGCAATCTCCTGCCACCTGGGGTACAGTCAATGTGGGGTGATCTCAAGGTGTCTGTGCAGGCGAACCCAGCTGCCCGGCCCTTGCTGGGATTGGGATCATCTGTGATTGGAGAATATTCCTTCCATTTCCCATCTTCTTGGGTTGGTCTATGATGCTCCTCCCTCCCAGGCTGCCTACAGAATAAAGATATGTCAAGTCCCAATCTCCTTACCACAGAATGCGCCCTGTTAGGGCGGCAGTCTTTAAAGAGGTAACCCGGTGAGAGGAAGCCATCAGAGTGGGTGCTACTCTAGCCTGACTGGTGTCTTTCTGTTTAGGAAGACGTGCACAGAAAAAGGTGGGCTGATGGACAAAGTGGGCTCCAGTGGTCACCAGCAACTCACCAGGTGCCAGGAAGAGTCAAGGTTGGAATCTCAGCCTCAGGTTTCAAAAAAAGATGGCCCTAATGCCACCTTGATTAGGGACTTCTGGCCCCCAGAACTGTGATATAAAACACTATGGTTTTAAACCTCTCATCTGATCAAAAACCCTGTCTTTGACCTCCTGTGTCCCCAGTCTCTGATGACACAGTTTACCACTGCGACATTCATGGCGCCTGCCATCTCACCTCTCTTGGCAGGTGTAGCCCATCCCCAGTTAGGTTACGTGAGGCTTCAGTCCCTATTAAAATGGTCCTTGGGGCCAGCACTGCCATAGAAGGCTGCAAATGGCTCCTTCAGATCACTCCAGCCCTCACCCCAGGAGCTGGTACGTGTTGCTAGCAGAAAATAGTCCTTGAGGATTTAACCAAATTAAGGTTTTCATAACAGAGAGATTTTCTTGGATCACCAGCTAAACCCCATGAAATCTCAGGTATCATTGTACAGTGGCTGCAGAGGGTCACAGGCCCTCACAGGGAGGACTTGGACGGAGTGCAGAGGTCACAGGCAAAGGCAGACGGAATCATCCAGAGCTGGCAGGGGCAGGGAGTGAGGCACTGGGGGGTCCTATGTATGGGACCCTGCTGACACCTGGATTCCAGCTGGGAGACCCTGAGCTTGGACTTGTGTCTGTGACCCTCAAAATGTGAGAGAACTCAGCTGTTGTTGAGCCACCACATTCATGCTTATTTTCGAAACCAGAAACGAATCCAGAGGCCTGTGAGGCCCCATCTCCGGGAGGTCCCTGCCCAGTCTCCGCACCAGGGTGGCCTCCAGCTGCTCGCAGTGGAAGCGGCTGCTGCTGCTGCAGGTGCAGGGTCCGGGAGCAGAAGACCCTCACATCTGTCCAGCCATTCCCATGCCAAGTCCTTGGTCCCTTGTGGGCAGAGGACACCTGTAGGCTGGGTAGTTGATCTTCTGAGAAGGGCCACAGCTCTGAAGATGACCTCCCAAGGGTGTCTTCCACCTCATCTGCTACCAAGACAAATGCTGGCCTCAACTCCTTCCAGGACTGGTGATTTGTCCTCCATACCCTCCTCATTTTGCCTCAAGGAATCAGCCAGCACCATGGGGTCCCCTGATCACTGCCCCATTGCAGACTCCTCCCACCAGCATCTCATCCCTGTTCACTGGGGGGAGATTGTCACCAGGCCACTAAGGATGGCAGGGTTGTTCCTGCTCCACTGACCACCATACCACATCCCCATGGCCAGCCTAGCAGCAAGGGACCCATTCCAGGAGCCAGTGACAGACCACTTTGATGCCAGGACCACCTTGATATGGGAGGCCTGAGATCCATTTTCCCAGACTCCCTGAGGCAGCACTGAAGGCAGAAGGCGGGCGCAGACAGACACTCCTGAGAGGAAACCGAGAAGCCACAGCTGTGGGCTGAGGTGACCTGCAGTGCTGTTGCAGCAGGGGCTTGAGCCCACGTTACAGCGAGCTCCACAGCAGGGTTGTCCTGCCTGCATCCAGGGACTGGGGCCCTGGTATCATGGTGTCACCTGGGCACAGGCCATAGGCTGTGCCCTGCTGGGGTGGATCAAGGCAAGTAGTTCCCTGAGGATGCTGGCACTTCCCCTCAAGAGGTGCAGCCAGGAACTGTGAACGGCCAGCACCCCAACAGTAGGGAAGGGGGTCCTAAGGAGGTCAGAGCAGAGCAGCGCCAAGTCCCCAGCTTAGCCTCAGATGCAGGCCTGACCCGTGAGCCACCCTCTCCCAAGCCCAGGCTGTGCCCTGCCCATGTGTTCCTATGTAACTTATTGTAAAACTTACAAAACAAAATGTTTCTCCATATCATTTCTTAGAAAGCCAGGGAGAAGCCTGATAGGATTGTTTCTGGAAATATTTTTCATCTTTTGGAAATAATCCTATCAAAACCCACTCACCTGCCGCTGCCAGACAGAGACCAGAACCAGAGCACAGAGCCCAGGACAGAGGAGCCAAAGCCACAGAGCACATTCCTCTCCATGTCCTCACCAAGGCGCATGGCCTGCTTGGCAGGAGACCACTCAGCCGCCCAGGCACCCGATCCTCCCAGCCTTGGTCCCACAGTCCCCCGGGCAGATGTCTGTGTCCACGTCCCACTCGGGGCTCCTGGTGGCCCCCAAAGCTCCTCTCAGCCCCAGAGAGGGTGCCAGGGACAAAGCGATCCAACTGTCGTTAGAAGGCGGTTATCAAAATATTTCCCCCGTGAGGAGCGATTTCCCCGCTTCTCCATTAGTGCATTAAGTGAGACGTCAGCCGTGGCAGCTTTAATAACTGCTGTAACTGAGAGGCGGGGGAGGAGCAGAAAGGAGACTGCAGGACTCCAGGGAGCAAAGAGCGCCACGCAGAGCACAGTGTCTGCGAGGTCTTTGGGTGACAGCCCCAAGGTCGCCTGACACTGCCTTGTGACAGATGTGCGGTTGCCTGAATAATGGCCCCGCAGCTGTTCCCAATGCCTGGGCCCCTGTGGGTTTGTCACCTTCCCTGGCAGAAGGGACCCAGGGATGGAACTCAGGGGTGATAGGAGGTCGGGGTCCTGGGGTGACCAGGTGACCCCAGTGCAGGCAGAGAGCCCCGTGGGGGCGTGGCTGGGGCAGTGTCAGCTGTGGGAGATGTGACTTGGGCAGCAAGAGGCTGGAGTGACTGAGGGAGGGATGGGGCTGAGGAACGCAGCCTCTGGACGTGGGAACAGACCCAGAAAGCTGCGGGCCTTGGGCCCTGGGGACCCCATAGCGCTCACACCTGGGGTTCAGGTCTCTCCCTCCACAACCGCTGGTTTTTACCTGGGCTCAGTGGCACACACCTCCCACCACGCTGGGAAGCTGTGGCAAGAGGATTCCGAGTTCGAGCCCAGCCTGGGAAATGTAGCCACGTAGCAAGATCCTCTACATGAAAAATAGAAAGTGGAGCTTTGGCTGTAGCTCAGCGTACAGTTCTCGGGAGCGTAAACAAGTCCTTGTGCTTGATCTCCAGTACCAGAAACAAAATGAACCGAAACCAAACAAAACAACACCTAACAAAACTGTTTTGCTTTAAGTTTTCAGGGTTTCTGTTATTCCTTATAATTAGGCAATTTTTAAAAATTATCTTTTGCAAACACACAAAGAATTTACCACCTTAACCACTATTAAGTGTACAGATCAGTAGTTCTGAGCACATCCACGTTGTTCACCAACCAATCCCCAGAACTTCTTTCCCCCTGCAAAACTGGCTCTGTACCCATCAAATCCAACTCCCCCCGCCCCCTCCATCTGTCTAGTTTCTTTTCTGAGTTTCACCTCGTGAGCACACCATGGGCGTGGAATCCAACAGCATTTGTCCTTTTGTGCCTCGCTCATTTCACCAGCATGGTGTCTTCAAGTCCATCACGTCGTGGCCTACATCAGAACGAAGGCTGAGTAGGACTACCTTTTGCATACCCACTCATTCATCAGTGGAAGGTTTGAAACTTCTGTGCCACTAACTTTGTGGAACTCATACAGGCAGGAAATATCAAATTTCAGATACAAGTGAGTAGAACTACAGACTTTCCCCCCTTCCTTCCAAATCACAGACCCCCCTCAAATTATTACTGTCAGTCAGATGCCCTGCTGTCCTACTCTGCGTGACGGAGCCTGGCTCTCAGCTGTGTCCAGGTTCCATGGTGGAAATCAGAGAAACAGGGAAACCACATACTAGGTTTGTATGGGTGTTTTGTTTTGTTTAGCAGGGACTGAACTCAGTTTTGTTTTTTTTAAAAACAGGGTCTTACTAAGTTATCCAAGCTGGGCTTGAACTTGCAATCCTCCTGCCTCAGCCTCCCAGAGTCCTGGAATTATAGGTGGCACCACTATGATGTTTAAAACAAGTGGGTGCCTTCAGACCTAAATCTAGTGAGAGGACAGACTCAAGGGCACAGCAGCACAGAGCATGCTGGGAAATGTAGTCTTGCATTTGATGGCTAATATGCAACTCAATGTCTAGTACTGAAGAAGGCCAGAAAGGATTCTGGTGTATAAGGCAGAATCAGCTTCCAGGTCGCCTCAGGGCTGTCCTTGGATGGGCAGGAGTCAGCTGACAAGATCTCAACCACTTGCACTCAAGAAACTCAATACCGCTGGGGATAGGTGGGGTGGGAGTAAGGTTTGGATGTTTAGATACATGGCCAAGTCTAATCTGCAGAATAGGAGAAAGTGTGGTACCTACCTCAAAGGCGAGAGCCTCACTGCTCTCATGTGGGCAAATCCCTCAGGACAGACAGGCACCAGGGACAGACCTTGGTTACCACTCCCTCTTCTCAGTGGCAGCTCTCACTCCCAGGGTGCCATTGTCAGTGTCCTGCTCATCCGGTTCCTCCTCAGGTGCCCGGCAGCAGTTCCTCAGCATCATGCAGCAGACACACCCGCTCTGCACCCTGAATTCTGTCTCCTGCTTCTCCTACCCGACCTCACCTATGTTTAATTTCTTACTCTGCTACTGTTTAACCTCCTGCAGGAGCATTAGCTCCACTGGGGCACAGTGTGCTTGTGCGTGTGCATGTGTGTGTGCATGCATGTGTGTGTTGCTGACTGCTGGGTCCTCAGGGCCTAGAACAGTGTTGCCCCTGGTAGCTGCTGAATAAACACTGCTGGAATCAATGATAGACTAGATAAGGGACAAGGCTGGTCACAAGGAGTCTGGCTCCTTCAGAGCCCTCAGCTGGACCTAGAATCCTAGGGACACCATTTCCCTCTCCCTCCCCTCCCCTCTGATGGTGGGTAGGGGGTCCTGTTATTACTGTTGTTGTTGTCACAGTGCTGGGGCTTGAACCAGATCTCATGCATGCCTCTCAAGAGCTCCATCACTGAGCTCCATTCTCAGCAGCCCCTACTTATTGTTAGACAGGGGCTCACTGAGTTGCTCAGGCTGGCCTTGAGCTTGCAATTCTCCTGGCTCAGCCACTTGAGTACTACCATTACAGGTGTGCACCACCATGCCCAGCTGAGGTCTGTCTTTTACTCCTCCTTCTTTGGTGTTTCAATAAAGCTATCTATTAATCTGGTGTACAGTGGAGATTGAGAGCAATAATGGTAAAAGCTAGAGGGTTGGCATTGTGTACATGTATCCAGTTATCACACTGCATCTTCCAAATATGTACAATTAAAAAAATGTTTGAAATGAAAAGGAATCTTAGACAGTTGGAACCTGGAAAAGTATAAGAGAAACTGGATATTTATAACTGACCAGCCCTGTTCTCCCTGTAGAGACCAACTGGCATAGTAAAGTAAAGAGCAGAATTTATTTTTTTAGTTTGATCCTTTTATGTAGCTGTGGCTGACCTCAGACTTGTGATCCTCCTGCCTCAGCCTTCAGAGGTCTGGGATTTACACTACCACAACATCTAGGAATGTAATGAGTGTGTGTGTGTGTGTGTGTGTGTGTGTGTGTGTGTGTATGTGAGTACAGGCTCAAGTACTCGTGTATGTGGTATTAGGGGTTGAATGCAGGGCCTTTGCACTGAGCTACATCCCCAACTCTTTTTTATCTTTTATGATGAAACATGGTCTCATCAAGTTGCCCAGGCTGCATTTGAACTTGTGATCCTCCTGCTTCAGCCTCCCAAAGTGCTGGGATTATAGACGTGCACTAATATGCTCAGCTAGGCATCGAGTTTTTAATAGAAGAAGATAAAAGATTATCAACAGAATTGAACAGGTAAAAACATTTTCATGATTTCATACTCTGCAAATCACACTGGGGCCCATATGTTCCTGAGTGGCCATCTGGTAATAAACTTGGTGCCTAATATATTTAGCAAAAATCACAAGTCCCTGTTGCCTGGTGCACATTCAGATGTAATGAAGTCTCTTCCATCTTAGCACTTTCTCTTTTCTATTCTTTTTGATCAAAATCATTACGCATATATCAGTGGGGGTCAGTGAGATATTTCAGTGCAGGTCTAAAACATGCACCAGTCAAACCCTTTAATGTTCTATACACTTTCTAGTCTTTTGTTCTGTCTTGGCTTTGGCTCTCTCAACCCTGCCGTCCCTCCTCTCCTCGTCCTCTCCCTAAAAGGTCTCCTCTCTCCTAAGCAGACTCCTAGAAGCCCCCAGTCTCCGTCAGAACGTCTTCCTGGGGACCCCTCATCAGCCCCTCCACTTCAGCACGCTAGGCAAGAAAATGAGCCCCAGGCCTGCCTGCCCGCAGTGGCTCCATCAGGGCCCCTTGTCCCCTCCCTGTTGACTGAAGCTGCTAAGGCCCCAGGGATTGTCATCCTCAGCTGACTTCCGCAGCACAAACGCTGAGCCCAGTCAGGGTCCCTTTCCCTAAACTCACCTGGCTTCCCTTCCCTGCCCTGCTCCATCCCCATCCCGGAGCTCCATGGCTCCCAGACTCCCCTGCCAACTCGGGCTGCTTTTCTGCATCAATCCCTCCTTCCCTTTTGCCCCGCTGACACTGCACCACAGAGCTCCGCACAGTGCTGGCCCAGGAGGAGCTGGAAATCCCAGCCCTTCGGAGCTGAGATCTAGAAGAGGAGGCTGAGGCCAGAGACTGCACTGGAGGAAGCAGAGGAGGAGACCGCAGCCACAGCCCCGAGGGGGAGGGTAGGTGGCAGTGAAAGGCATCTGCGTGCCCTCCTGCCCTTCGGGTGGGCTGACCGAGGTCCCCACTTCCAGATCCATATTTGCTTGCTAAGTCTCAAAAGATGTTTACTCTTGTGGTTTTTCGTACCGTTTGTGAAAAGCAAAGAATGAGAAAATCCGATTTGTCCATGACATTGACCTTGCTTGTAGATGTGGCTATGAATGATGGCATCACTGCTTTGATGACTGCAGCTCTCAGAGAGGGAGCCACGGGGTGGTGGGGAGACAGAGGGGGGAAAACAGAACAGGAAGCATGGATGAGGAGTGAGACAGAGGATGTCACGGAGAACGTGACTCAAACATAGAATAGCGACACCTGATGTGATGTCCAGAGGAGGTGGGGCTGCGTTCGGGCCATGGGCCCAGGACCTGTCTCTAAGGCATCTGTCAGATTCCT